TCGCCACACGATCGATATAGAAATCACGCAACCAAGTGAAGGAAACCTCCTTACTTTCACCGGCGTCTTGGTACTGTCGTAGCAACTCATGAATGGAAGCTTGAGTGCAAAGATTGTAGAGCAAATCAAAGTTTCCTTTTCGGAATGGACTCGACACCTGCACCTGATTCTCCATGTTGCGGCTCAGAATGATGGAGGTGATGCGATCAAACGTGGATGCCAACTCTTCTGGCCTGGCGGCGCCGGCGGTGAGGGAGCTATGCCGCTCGTCATACCGAATGTTTTCAAAGTAGGAATCCAAAATCTGATCGTTGGTGCATATCACAATGTCCAAATCCTGTATGAATTCATTCGCAATCTGTCCTCGAACTGACAAAATACGTTGGGCTAGATTGGCAGGATCAATTGCAATGGGGAACTCCACCCATCGTTCTTCCAGGTATGGATTGTGCTTGCTCCAACCTCCGTGGCCTCGTCCACGACGTTTGGCGGATACAATGATTTTATCTGGACACACAGAAATCAGCTAGGTTAGATTGTCTTGCTCGCTGGGATCTTTTAGCACTCGCAATAGATACCAGTACTTACCTTTGGGCCTCTCCATCATTTCAAAGAGGACCATTTCCCAGCTGGCAAAGCGGTCAATGTCAAAGGCGCCGGTACCATGATAGTTTCCAAGGTTTGCCAACCCTAGAAAGTCTTCAATCCACTTGCCTGAATGAGGATCACGACATTCTTCGAGCAAAAACATGAAGGACTGGATGGCTCGCTGGGTCAGAAAACTTTTGACGCAAGTTCGAGCGTCATTACGAGCCATAATGGTGGCACGATCATGTTTGTGGTCGTCAATTCCACCATTGCCACCATAGACTGTGCTGGTTACGGCGTATAAGGCCGTGCGCCGAGCATGGATAGAAGATTGAAAGCTTGATGTGCCTACGAAGGCGAGGCAGGAATGGCCGAGACTCCCAAGAAGGCCGACAATCAGACTCAGCAGAGGCCCATGTCTTTCTGGCTGTAACCACATCTCTCAACCAAACCGCTTCACAGGCCTGAATATAGCGACTCCTTGATGGGTGAATGTCCTTCCTCGAGGTTGTTTTCTTGGCTCATTGTCATCAACTCAAAAGACATGCCAAGAACATCAGATTCTGCTTTTGGGATTGTTGGAAGCAGCTCGAAACTGACGTCAGAGCCGACTCAGTCGAGTCAATAGTTCGTGGCTGACGGCGTTTAATAAGCCAGCTTGGTTGTAAAAAAGCACTTTGCAAGTTCATCAAGCGCAAGGCTCCACGGCTGCACTCGTACCAAATTCTCGAGTAAAATTATTATTGTTTCACCGGTCAACGAATCGAATCCGAATCAGATGCTTTCTAATCAATACATGTATTCATACGGGTTTTATATATTCACAAATGACCAATGACAAAAAAGATGATGGAGCTGTGCAGTAAACATTTAACATCCGCAGTCACAGACTGGACTGAGGCTCAGCCTGTGAGATCTATTGGTCAAGTCTTGCAAAACCGGTCGTACGTAGACTACCTTTTTTGCTAGCGAGCTCCTCTGCTCTCTGCTTTCTGCTCTCATCGTTTGCTACCGTAGCTAGCTATTACGTTGGTCTCTCATAAAACAAATCTACCAGACACCGCAACAAAAGAGGAGTCTCAAGCTATCGCAAACTAGGTACTCAATAGTCGACCAAAGATTGTAACATGATACATTCATCCATAAAAGGAGCAGCTGCCTTTGACTCCAAACCATGCCACCACAAGGGTGATTTGGGAGACCGAATTCTACTTGCACAAAGCCACAGAAGAAGCAATGATGACATCTTTGGAAAAAGGATGTACATTGTACTTGCATTCATCCTTGTGCCTGCTGCTATCCTTCATGCTTTGGTTGGCCTTGCTCTGAAAGTTGTCATGCCTCGTGACAGCAACAACCAAAAGCTATTCAACAACTTCCTGCAGGAAAACACATATGAGGATATAGTCAAGACGACAGTACCAGATGTCACAGCCTGGTATAGAAGCATGGACGGAGATAAGACCTTGCTACCAGCCAACAGGAGGATGTCAGTTTCTCCCAGTGGGGCAGCATGTGTCGATCGTTTCTTCCAGCAGATCGAAGTTGTTGTGAATGAAACATCCCCTGCTCATGTTGAGCTTGCATTGAAGTCTCTGGGCCTGTCAGACAGCCTTCTCACTCAAGTTGCCCTGCAAAATCTTTTGGATAAGCCACAACCTCTTGCTCCATGGATTGAAGAAACCACCAGTTGCATTGCCAAGAATTCAGTTCTTGGGCACCTCTGTGATGCATTTGAATCCAGCATCGGTCCCAAACCAAACTTTGATGAGCCCTACCAAACACATATTCTGATCTACTTTGCCAATGTCTTTGCAGTTTACCAGACCCTGACATCTAAGGCCATGACAGATGTATCTTTGTTGTCTGAGATATCCAACACAATGATTGACCTGATAGAGTCGCGTGAACAAGGCTATGATTCTACATACAAAGATCCCTCCATCCAGGAGTTTGCAAAGTTCAAGTATCAGGGCGTCACACAGTCCCTGCAAGTCCTTAAACATGCAATAGGGGAAAACAAGGTCTCCCAAATGACGGCTCACAGGCTTCAGATCAATATCTTGGAAGCAGTCAAAGTGGATGCTTCATTGGGCTATCGGGACAATGCAAGAGTTGGTTTGGCACTGGCATCAGCAGTTTCTGTTGGTCCTGTTGTTACAGACCATGTGGTCCACTGGAAGCTGGGACGTGAATGGGTTGAGGCCTACCTATCATGGAACATGGCTTTTATTAGTGGCTCACTTCCTCTCAACCTTATTATCAAGTTGATGATTCCTGCTGTTTCCTGTACAGCAATGGAAACTCCAGATGGAAATGGTTTCATTGCACCGCGAACACTGTCCCTGGCCCTTGCTTTGATGCATGAGTTCCCTTCCATGACCGAGCTTAAGGACCTGGTAGACAAGCACAACAGCAGTGCTGATGGAGGGCTCGATGTCACCACTATTGAAAGCTTGCATACCTTCTACCATTCTTCTCAGAGTCTATCCAAGGATCACTTTGATATGGCACATGTCATGGGTAAAAGTAATCTTCAACACTCCATCCTCCCTTCTCCTTCCAAAGACACTGTTGAAAGAATGCTGCATTCCCTTTGTGGGACATCCTGCTATGATGGATCTTATACCATGTCTTGGACAAGCATTGAATCCCACTTGAACGATGAGGACTTCAAGACTTACATTGGGGTTATCCTCTATATGACAGCCATGTTGACTGGTCTCGGACTGGAATTCTTTGGATGGGATATTCTAACCATGGACATGGGATGGTCAACAAAACAGGAGACTTGGTGGTGGCTGGCTCAGTTTCTCTTCCCACTGTTTGCTGCTACGAGCCTTGGTTTATCTCTTAGCAGGAACTTTATGACACTGCCATTCCTTGCCATTGGTTTGTGGAAGTTTGGTATGCCAGAGACTGTCTCATACATGTACGGGGCTCTTTACCAAGATGTGAAGGACCCTGATCAAGCCAGGTTCAAGCTTTCATGGGGGCAGCTATCCAAGTTTATCAATTCGGTGGGAAACATCATGCATCATTCAGCATCAATTCTTACGATTGTGATGTTTCTGTCTGGGGCAGTCCTAGCAGACAGGCACATGGTTGCTTCCATTGTGGTTCTTATCATGCAACACTGGTTTACACTACTCAAGTACAAGCATCTGTATCTTTTCTGTGTCATTGAGATTGTTCTGGAAGTGTACTTTGAGTGGGTGATCTTCTCAGAGCTGCACTATGTCCACTCCCGGCATCCATCACTGAGCTATTCATCATCAGCAATGCTGGTGGCTCATTGGATGTACTTTTTTGCAGGGATGTTAGAGCTTGCTGTTGACAGCACTACAGAGCAGGTAGAATCTCTGTCTGGGACTTCTGGCAAAGATGATCTCCTCAGAGATTGTAGGGCTTCTGGCGGAGATGATATCCTTGGGATGAACATTGGGCATTATACTGATGATGAAGAGACGAACTCTCATGAGATTGATACTGACTTTTGTGATGATTTATTACCCGAGGGGAAGAAGATGGCACGCATTCCAAAGAGACGTTCCTCATTGCTCACCATTTTCTTTTCCAAAGAACTGGATGTATAATTCCTGCGGTTTAGTACTATCATCAGGTCAATAGCTATTCTTAATGTTCAGCAGTGCTTAATAATGCATATCTTTTTCAAGTTATGGCAAGCATTATACCGTAGAGTACTCTTTCTCGCCGAGGGAACTTGGCTGAACGACAAGCAAGAGCACCATTGTATGCTTGGCTAAGAAGTGCGTGGCAGCACGATGATTTCTCGATTCCCTTCGATCGTTATAGCTATCATAGCTACTAGTGGCATTGGCATACTGGAGACGCTCCCGCGGGGACGATCGAAGGGTGAGATGGCGCGGGGGGGCGCTCTTGGCAGTCTTCATCCGGCCTGTGTCCCGCTGGCCGGAGCATGAGAGGCCGCTTCAATGAGGAGGGATGCTCTTGGCGGTCGGTATCTGATTTACGGTCAAATTTTCTTGGGACGATCCGTGGAGAAGCAGGGGACGCCGCCTTCAAGAGAGCCATCCCCTGGTCTTCCTTCTGTGGCTCGCAGGTTCTTTTCTTGGCACTGCCGAACAGTTCGCCCCCACCGACAGGGACAGGTGAGACCCCCAGCTTCGTGAGGGTTTTGGCGTAGTCCACAGCAAAGCTATTGCACGATCGGTAGGGGCTTGTTCGGTGCGGGAGCAATGCCCAAGTATCCTTGTCGAGGACTCCACTCGAGAAAGCACCCGCCAACCGCTCAACCAATGCGCGGTGGTCGGGTGAGTCCGGAAGGTACGCGATGCGATGGCCAATCCCACTGATGCAATCGGTGGTATTGAAACAACAAACGATGACCAACGTATCCATGCCATCGCACACTAGCTTCTCCCTGGAGTATCGCAATACTCTCATCCATTCCAACGAAGTGTCCACTTCAGATCCGTTGGCGCGTCTATATGTTTCGGATTGGCACGGCGAGCTTCCCAGCTCCCGCTTGATCTCTTCGTTTTCTGTCAAGGTCCTTCTTCGCTTCCATTTTTCGTACCAGGAATCCACAGGCGCATCCAGTGATTGCGACGAGTTTGAGGTGCCCTTGCCCTTGGCCTTGCTGTTTGGTGTCCAAGTCAGCGCCGGAGAAGAGATCGGGGCCGAGACCAGGGCTGGTGCCTGGGCCCAGACCGGGGTCACGGCGCCGTAATAATTGTTCGAGGGACCACTTTGGCTCGAGGACACACAGCTGTTTCTCAAACCAAGATTTGCAGGTCGTGGCATGGCGGATACCACAGTCTTGGCTCCGTCGTTGAAGAATGCATCCACAACACCTTGCAGCCTACGGTGGGCGTGCCAAATAGCGCCATCGACGTCGTCATCTGGGTTCACTGGTCTTTTGAACCTGAGCAAGGGGACACATTGGCTCGATTGGCGCAGGATTACCATCTCGTGGGGCGTTCCTTGGCTGGCAATGGCCGTGTCGCCGACAAACCCACCGCCACCACGGCAGGCCGGGTTCTTAGTCCCATGGAGCCGGGCCACCAACAGCCCTGTATCTCCGAATCGAGCAAACGAAAAGGGGTTGTTCCCAGAGTAGACTCCATCGCCCCAAACAGAGCCATTGAAGTTGCTTGCAACACCCTTCTCGTCCCGGTCTGCCTTGGTGAGAAGTCCATTGGCCTGGATGTGCTCCAGATTTTGGCTGCACGTGTAATGGTAGCCAATATCTACCCGCGTGTCCTTGGTTTCAGACAGACCAAATATAGCTTGCGTTTCCAATAGGCGCTCGGAGGTGAACATCATGTCATCAATCCCGATCGTTTCCATCCGCAAGTCAGCAGCCAGGCCCTTGTTGGCAACATCGCTTGCGACGATCCGGCGATGCTCCTCTACGATGGCGCTGACAAAGTTCCACGCCTTTCCAGCAACGGATAAGCAGGCCGCAGCCTCATTCTCCTTCTTGGCTTGGGCCAGGGCGATGAGATGGTCCTCTTCGTAACATTCTTGGGCTGATCCTGTGGCAGAATGTTCCTCGTTTGCTTCCGCCAGTGCGATCTGATGGTCAAGATCATCCTGAGGTGACTTTCCCTTCGTCTCTGATTCTCCGTTGTTCTTACCCGCAAGGTCTTCCGCAGCCTCGTCACCATTCATTCGTGGTTTCTTCCCTTTCGTGCTTCCGAGGGGATTTTCTTGCTGCTGGTCGTCATCGTTGTGTTGCAAACCTCTCATCAATGGTGGCGGGGGTGGACAAGCAGCCCCACTGTTCTCTTCCTGTCGCAAAGAAATGGCCAGGGCGGCACCAACCGCACCACTGTAACCAAAAATGTTTCCCACGGTAGTACCACCAGCATTGGCGCTCTCCTCAGCCATGAGAGCCAGGGCCAGCTGCATATCCAGATCAAAAGAGGCGTCCATGGTGTTGCCTTCTTCGTTTTGTGTATCGTTTGTTGTGTCTTCTTCTTCGCTCATGCTGTTCGTTGAAGTCATTGTGGATGTGAATAACTGGGTTTAATTTTCATTGTGAAATTGTGGTCCAGCCGTGTTGATAATACCAGTGAGGACTTGGGTTCGCCTGTGTCTCTTAGGACTATAGTTAGGTGCTACCAGTAATGGTACTGCTATGATTTGAACCGTGAATCCAGGGGGGTGGCACAAACCAACCCCAATTGTCTGATTACTAGTATTTCCTCAACCACCGGATCATTAGAGTGTTGCCACAGTTGAGATTGGTCGCGAGGGTACTAGCTAGCTAGCTACCACGCTGTAGTAGTAGGAAGCGGTTGAAAGCGGTGGAAGCGTATTTTCAAACAAAACAAAAAAAAGGTGTTGCGGTACCGGTATACCAGTACTGGTACTACCGGTACTGGCAGTGGTAAAAGGAGCGGCGCAGTCGGTCGAGCGCGAAGTCGGTCGAGCAGGTATGATCCGGTGGTTGAGGAAATAATCAGTCAAGCAGGTGTTGGTTTGTGCCACCCCCAGGCGAGGAAACCACGATTGCCATTGCAAAAGTGTTTTTTTGAAAATCAACCTCGTCGCCTTCGGATGCCTTCAAGTTTCAGGACATCTCCAATATTTCCTTCATTTTAAGATACCTTGCTGCTACCGGTAGCTAGTAGATCAGGCACAGAAAGCTCGAACGGGTGCTCCCAAATGATGATCTACCGGTGCATTAAAGACCCGACTGAGTCACTCTCCATTGCTTTCCTTTGGCTAAAGGTCAAACGCTTCCGTTTACATGGATCCACAAGATAGAGCACTATGACTCGTTGTCTGGTCACAAGTTCCCCCCCCCCCCCCTGGACCCACCAAACCAATTCCAAAATTTGACTAAGCTAGGCCGACTTCCTCACCAGCAAAAACTCTAGCACTCTATGTCCCTCCAATCTATATTTGACAACAATTCATCTACCGGTACTAGTAGTGCGGGTACTGAATTCACAAAGCACCAGTGTATAGTATTATTGTACTATTATTATTGTAACGAGGAAGATTCATTCAATCATCCCCTATGCATAGCTACAGTATTAGCTCTATATCATAGAGCAATGCCAAACATGCCAAAAGTATTCATGTCACTTGCCAGCGGTGGGAAACACTCCACAATTCGCCTCGAATCAATCACACCTCAGAAATGTAGCTTATTATCAAGGGGGATATCAATGTTCTCTCAACCACGATTGCTCGGCGCGCCAATTTTACCTCTAACCCTGTTGATATTCCAATCCAACAATGCCGCCGTCACAAAAGATCCCAGCTGATCCAAGTCCTTTGCCTCATCTTCTATCATTGTTACTACTGTACAAGAGACCGAGCTCCACTCCAGTTATTAGCGTACGGTATCATAGAAAGTTCATTTAGTTTATCATGGCGAAACCCAAGAAATCATCGGCGAATGATGCTGGAGCGACGACGGCTAAAAGCGGTGGCGAAGTCCAAGTGTCGAAATCTCCAGCCGAGTTTTTCGCGGAGAATCAAGCCATTGCAGGCTTTGATAACATGGGAAGGTCCCTGTACACGTCTATTCGAGAGTGTGAGTAAGATTCTTCAAAGAAGAAAGAGATAATGATGAACTTGTGCCGTTGTTTTTCACTAATGATTGCTATTCACTTCCGACTTTGACTAACTAACGGACAGTGGTAGAGAACGCATTGGATGCCTGCGAAAGCATCAATGAGTTGCCCGATATCCGAGTGTCTGTGGAAGAGTTCACACAAGCCGAGTTCAACGAGATTCGGGGATTGCACAAGCATGGCAAAGGAAAACGCGAGGAACGAATGGACGCAGAGCTGTTTCAAAAAAAGTCGTCCAAAGGCAAGGGTGATACCGAAGATGCAGATGGAAAAAAGTTGGAAGGCTACTTTCGCATCAAAGTCCGTGATAATGGCTGTGGAATGAGACATGACGATATACCCAATCTGCTCGGAAGAGTCCTGAGTGGATCCAAGTATGGAGGTAAGAGACATCCTGATATACTGATGGCGTCCAGAGCTGCTGCCTGTCATTGGTGATTACTCATACTACACTACTGTACTACTACTTGTCTTCTCTGTTCTCTCTGTATTTGTTTGGAACCATTATGGCTTGATCTTACTCTTCCAATGCGACAACTAACGATGTTTCTCATCTCAGTCCGGCAAACCAGAGGAAAGTTTGGGTTGGGTGCCAAAATGGCGCTGATTTGGTGAGTCCAAATGTCAGCATTTATCCAATGATAATGATGCTGATTCGTCTGATCACTAATCAATCAATCCTCAACAACAATCAATCTATTCAATGGATCTTTCAGGAGCAAAAAATCCACTGGCGTGCCAATTCGAATCACCACAGCCCACAGACCCAACGGAGGATCCACAGTCCCTTCCAAAGTCAGTACGTGTGTCTTGGATATTGATATCTACAAAAATCGTCCAAGAATCATTGAACACACACTAAAATCCAACAAAGAATGGAAGGGCACTGAAATGGAGATTATGATTGGAGGCAATTGGTCCTCCTACAAGAATTACGTTGTCAAGTACTTGCAACAATTAGCCATCATTACACCGTACGCCAGATTGGAAATGACTTACACCAAAGCAGCCGAAACTTCCAGAGCAAAAGACATGACTATTGCGTACGAGCGCAGATCCGATCAAATGCCACCACCGGCACGAGAAGTCAAACATCATCCCTCCAGTGTCAATAATCTACTCATTGCACAACTCCTGGAACGGACCCAAACCAAAACCATGGTCTCATTCTTGTCGAAAGAATTGGCGGCCGTGCCCCAGCCGTTGGCCAAACGATTGCTGGCTGAACTGGGAGATGACTTTTCGGAATCCATGTCCCCGTCCAGCCTGGACGACAAACAAGTTACCCGTCTGGTCCAGCTCTTGCGATCGGTTCAACAATTCAAAGCTCCAGACGGTAGTTGTTTGTCGCCCTTGGGAGAGTACAATTTGAACTTGGGAATCCAAAAGGTCTTGGAACCGACCATGGTTGCCACGGCGCGCGACAAGGCCGGTGCGTTCCAACACAACTGATTGTGCACCTACTTATGCTGTCTACTGGTTGCTAACATACATGTCCTGTTTGAATGCAGAGGCCTACGAAGGCCATCCCTTTATCGTGGAAGCCGCCGTGTCATTGGGCGGGAAGAGTGACATTGCGAAGGAAGGAATCACGGTTGTACGTTTTGCCAACCGCATTCCCTTGCTATTTGAAGGCGGTGCCGATGTGTCGTCCAGAGTTGCACACAAGAAGATTTCCTGGGGAAGCTACAAGATCGATTATAAACGCGACAAAATTGGAGTGTTTGTATCGATTGTTTCCACCAAAATTCCCTACAAGGGCACTGGGAAGGAGTATATTGGGGACGACATTACGGAAATCCAAAAGTCGGTGAGACGAGCGATACAGAACTGCTGTTTGCAACTCAAGAAAAGTTTGACCAAACGGAATGCTATTCGGGACAACAAAGAGAAAAGATCCAGACTCATCAAGTATATTCCTGATGTAAGTCGGGCCCTCTTTGGGCTTTTGGACGGTATGCGCCAGCGAAAGCGGGGGCGACGTGGTAATGATTCGGATGACGACGAGGAGGACGTGACTGCCCGGGAATCTCCTCTCAAAAAGAAGCTTCGTCTCGACTCCTCAGCCGCAAACGTCATGATACGAAAGCTTGAACGTAAGGAGGTCACTGCGGATACCATCAAAGCCGACTTGGTAGCTGCAGTTGAAAAACAGATGGACGAGACACTGGAAGATGGTGATCAAGGTACCACTACAGGTGCAAAGAAGGGAGGTAGCAAGAATGCCAACGCAATCTCTCAGAATCTTGTCCCCATATTCTTGCTGCCACTAAACCTGGAAGATCAAGATCCCTCACACGACATTCGACACCCTCTGTTCACGTTTCGTCCCTTCAAACCAATGAAACACCAGTTGCTCGAAAACAAGAAAGAGGACAAGAACGGCGACCACAGTGACAGCGTTCAGAGTGTCGTGTCATTAAGTGACTAGTTTGCTGGTTCTGAATCGACTACAGAGTTACTTCCTGGGTTTGGGAAACAGATTATCGTTTCTGGCTAGGATAGCCTATCACCAGCCACGATTATTTATTCATGATGTTGAATTTTATTTCAGTTTGTTCTTCTTTACCGTTTATGCTTACATCGTAGTTAGTTTTTATCAATAGATTGTTCTTTTGATTAATCATTGCTTCATTCGTTCATCATTTCCCAGTTGTCGTCTGCTGACTGGTTTACTCCTTCCATGGCCTCGGGGCTAGTGTCCTCGACAACACGGAAACGCAACCCCGACTTCCGGGATTTCTTTTTGAGAGGCAGGCCGCAGCTGTCCATGGAATCTTCCTCATCAGATGAAGAGTCTTCCGCTTCGATATGGACTGTCGTACCGCTGCTCAGCTCTCCACTGATCAACATGCGGCTCAGGGTTGTCACGACGGATTTCTCTAGGTACCGTTCGACGGGACGGGCTCCGTAGCTGGGGTCGTACGATGCTGCCAACACGGATTTCGCACCGCTTGACTCGAGAACAACCTTCACTCCCCTGGAAGCCAGGCGGCGTTTGACGCCCAGCATTGCTTTCTGTACAATCTTTTCCAGCTGGGAGCTGCCCAGTGCATTGAACATGACGATTGCGCTGAGACGATTAAGAAACTCTGGCAGGAACCTGGCTTGCACTTGTTCCATCACTGCCTTGTGCGCCACATCCTTTGATTCCTCGGAGTCATCAGAAATGTTGAGAAGGAGCTGAGATCCAATATTGGAGGTCAAGATTATGGTCGTGTTGGTAAAGTCCACCGTGCGCCCCTTGCTATCAGTGAGGCGCCCTTCATCGAGCACCTGTAGAAGCAGCGTCAAAACGCGTGGGTGGGCTTTCTCGACCTCGTCGAAGAGAACGACAGTGTAGGGTCTGCGACGAACTGCCTCGGTTAGTTGACCTCCTTCGTCGTGGCCCACATAGCCAGGCGGAGCCCCAACCAACCTAGCAACCGAATGTTGCTCTGTGTACTCGGACATGTCAATCCTGACAAGGTGGCGCTCGTCGCCATCGTACAGCTCCGAGAAGAGGGCCTTGGCCAATTCCGTTTTGCCAACACCTGAGCTGCCCAAAAATAGGAAGCTACCCGTCGGCTGGTTCTCTCGTGCAAGGCCTGCTTTGGAACGAAGGATACAATCCGTCACTTCTGTGATTGCTTCATCCTGTCCAATGACTCGTTCTTTCAGTCTTTCATCGAGATTCAGCAATCGTTGGCGGTCGGTTTGTGAAAGCCTGGCAACAGGGATTCCAGTCCACCTCCCGACAATATCTGCAATATCTTGAACGGTCACTACCTCGGACACCATGCTGTCGTCATCCTTGGCCGCGGCAGCAGCCTTTCTCTCCTCTTCTTCACGACTTATCTTCTCGAGGTGCAGTTTGAGGTCTGGAATGGCGTAATATCTCAGGTCGGCAGCCTTTGAGTGATCCCCAACACGTTCAGCGGAAGCCGCCTTCGCTTCAAGCTCAGACAATCTTTCCTTAACGCTTTTGAGCTCGTTCGCACGACCTCTGTCAGCTTCCCACTTGGCAGTGAGTGGGCTCAGTTCGTCCTTCAGGTTAGCGATTTCTTCCTGGATTGCTTTTCTTCTCTTCTTCGTTTCCTTGCCTTTTTCTCTGGCCAAGGCAGTGTCCTCGATCTGCAGCTGAAGAATCCTGCGCTCTAGCTGGTCAATCTTCTCTGGTCGGGAATCGAGGGCCGTGCGCTTTGTCGCACAAGCTTCGTCAACCAAATCGATTGCCTTGTCAGGCAAAAACCTGTTGGTGATGTATCTGTCAGATAGCTGGACAGCAGCTACAAGCGCAGCATCGGAAATGCGAATGCCGTGGTGGCTCTCGTACTTGTCCGTCAGTCCACGAAGCATGGAAACAGTGTTCTCGACACTGGGTTCGTTTACTCGGACTTGCTGAAAGCGACGTTCCAGCGCCGAGTCCTTCTCAATGTGTTGTCTATATTCCTCAGTCGTAGTCGCCCCAATCATGTGAAGTTCTCCACGTGCGAGGAGCGGTTTGAGCAGGTTTGCTGCGTCCATGGCTCCATCAGTCTTTCCGGCGCCGACAACCAAGTGTATTTCGTCTACAAAGAGTACAATCCGGCCTTGCGCTTGCTTCACCTCATCGAGGACTGCTTTGAGCCTCTCTTCAAACTCTCCGCGGTACTTTGCACCCGCCACCAGAGCTCCCATGTCGAGGGTACGAAGGCTGACACCCTTGAGCGTCTCGGGAACATCTCCTTCAAGGATGCGCCTTGCAAGACCTTCCACAATGGAAGTCTTTCCTGATCCAGGAGGTCCCACAAGGATTGGATTGTTTTTGGTACGGCGAGACAAAATCTGAACCAAGCGGCGGATCTCTTCATCTCGGCCAATGACCGGATCAAGTTTCCCCTCCTCGGCCACCTGTACGAGATCGACTCCATACTTCTCCAAAGCTTCATACTGATCTTCTGCACTGGCCGAAGTCACTTTGCGACCGCCTCGCAGGTCGTCCACTGCTTTCTGAGCAGCCTTCTTTGCCAGCCCCGTCGTTTTGAAAGCGTTCTTACATTCGCTATCTTCAAACAGTGCAAGGGCCAGCATGTCAACAGACAAGAGAGCGTCTCCATTTGCCTTGGCAGCCTTGGAGGCACGCTGCAAAAGAGTTGCCAAGGAATTGGAAGGAGAGGCCTCAAGAGGATCCGGTTGCTGGGATGGTTTCTTGAGCAAGAGTTTCTGGAGCTCACGACGAAGCGTGGTGACTTCCGCGTTGCCTTCTGCTCGGCTGAAGATCCTGGCCCCAACGCCATCGTCGTTCTCGAAAATGGCAGCGGCCAAGTGAATTGGGTCTGCTGTGGAGTTTCCATTATCGCGAGCGATGTTCAAGGCTCGTTCGATAGTCTTTGAAGTTGCGTCGGTAATTGTTCGTTCTGTCATGGTGGATGTTGTCGATTAGAAATTTGGTTTGCGTTCTAAAGAATGTTGTTGTTGATGTTGTGTGGTTGGTCTTTGGGTTGATTTTGGTTTTTTCCGAAATTGGATTATGAGACAAACCGAAAGCGAGGAAAATGAAGACGAAAATCGGTACGACTTAAATAAAAATTGTGTCGTATAAGGACATGGTGCACGTTTGACTATTAAACAGAAGTAAGAGTACGTTAAATGTGTACGTTTCGGTCATTCATGAGTTTAAATCCCGTAAAAACCGAAACTCTAAGAGTTTCCATTCGAAGACAACCGAAGTCTCCCGAATCTGCTCCCGTGCTGTGTTTCGTGCAACAGACACAGGAACGCACCGAAGACCGCAGCTACAGTACGGTGCAGTACGGAATCGAATCCTCGCAAAGGAAGCAACACCTTTGGTGAGAGGAAGGAGACTGAACATCGAGTCAGTCTTCGAATCTACTAGGTCGAAAGTACGATTGCGATTGCGATTACTTGGGCAGCAGAAGAGTGAAGATCACTCCGGTGAGGACTCCCGTTGACCTTGTCGAGAGCCTGACTCGCAAGTCACAGCTTTGCCATGTCAACATCAAACGCTTCAGTTACCACGGCTCTCAGACTTCGACCGCGCTGGAATCAAAGTCCGCGTGGCGCGACTGGACCAAACGCATCATGACGCTATCCATTTCTTTAGAAGAGCTTGTCGAGGTTTCATTGTCAGCGCTTGGCGGTTTCGGTTCCAGAGACTTGGCGAGCTCCAACATCCCAGCAAAAAAGTACATCCAATGAGCCACCAGCATTGCTGATGATGAATAGCCCAATGACGGATGCCGGGAGTGGACATAATGCAGCTCTGAGAAGATCACCCACTCAAAGTACACCTCCAAAATAATCTCAATGACACAGAAAAGATACAGATGCTTGTACTTGAGTAGTGTAAACCAGTGTTGCATGATAAGAACCACAATGGAAGCAACCATGTGCCTGTCTGCTAGGACTGCCCCAGACAGAAACATCACAATCGTAAGAATGGATGCTGAATGATGCATGATGTTTCCCACCGAATTGATAAGCTTGGGCAGCTGCCCCCATGAAAGCTTGAACCAGGCTTGATCAGGGTCCTTCACATCTTGGTAAAGAGCCCCATACATGTAGGAGACAGTCTCTGGTATACCAAACTTCCACAAACCAATGGCAAGGAATGGCAGTGTCATAAAGTTCCTACTAATGGATAAACCAAGGCTTGTAGCAGCGAACAGTGGGAAGAGAAACTGAGCCAGCCACCACCGAGTCTCATGTTTTGTTGACCATCCCATGTCCCTGGTTAGAATGTCCCATCCAAAGAGTTCCAGTCCGAGACCAGTCAACATGGCTGTCATATAGAGGATAACCCCAATGTAAGTCTTGAAGTCCTCATCGTTCAAGTGGGATTCAATGCTTGTCCAAGACATGGTATAAGATCCATCATAGCAGGATGTCCCACAAAGTTCATGTAGCATTCTTTCAACAGTGTCTTTGGAAGGGGAAGGGAGGATGGAGTGTTGAAGATTACTTTTACCCATGACATGTGCCATATCAAAGCGATCCTTGGATATACTCTGAGCAGAATGGTAGAATGTATGCAAGCTTTCAATAGTGGCAACATCAAGCCCTTCGTCAGCACTGCTGCTGTTCTTGTCCACCAGGTCCTTAAGCTCAGACATGGAAGGGAACTCATGCATCAAAGCAAGGGCGAGGGACAGTGTTCGCGGTGCAATGAAACCATCTCCATCTGGAGTTTCCATTGCTGTACAGGAAACAGCAGGAATCATCAACTTGATAATAAGGTTGAGAGGAAGTGAGCCACTAATAAAAGCCATGTTCCATGATAGGTAGGCCTCAACCCATTCATGTCCCAGCTTCCAGTGGACCACATGGTCTGTAACAACAGGACCAACAGAAACTGCTGACGCCAGTGCCAAACCAACTCTTGCATTGTCCCGATAGCCCAATGAAGCATCCACTTTGACTGCTTCCAAGATATTGATCTGAAGACTGTGAGCCGTCATTTGGGAGACCTTGTTTTCTCCTATTGCATGTTTAAGGACTTGCAGGGACTGTGTGATACCCTGATACTTGAAATTAGCAAACTCCTGCACAGAGGGATCTGTGTATGTGGATTCATAGCCTTGTTCACGGGACTCTATCAAGTCAATCATTGTGTTTGACATTTCAGACAATAAAGATATGTCTGTCATGGCCTTGGATGTTAGGGTCTGGTAGACTGCAAAGATATTGGCAAAGTAGATCAGAATATGTCTTTGATGGGGTTCATCAAAGTTTGGCTTTGAACCAATGCTGGATTCAAACGCATCACAGAGGTGACCCAGAACTGAGATCTTGGCAAAGCAACTGGTGGTTTCTTCAATCCAAGGAGCAAGAGGTTGTGGCTTCTCCAAGAGATCTTGTAGGGCAACTTGAGTGAGAAGGCTGTTGGACAGGCCTAGAGACTTCATTGCAAGCTCAACATGAGCAGGGGATGTTTCATTCACAACAACTTCGATCTGCTGGAAGAAGCGATCGACACATGCTGCCCCACTGGGAGAAACTGACATCCTCCTGTTGGCTGGTAGCAAGGTCTTATCTCCGTCCATGCTTCTATACCAGGCTGTGACATCTGGTACGGTCGTCTTGACTATATCCACATACGTGTTTTCCTGCAGGAAGTTGTTGAATAGCTTTTGGTTGTTGCTGTCACGAGGCATGACAACTTTCAGAGCAAGGCCAACCAAAGCATGAAGGATAGCAGCAGGCACAAGGATGAATGCAAGTACAATGTACATCCTTTTTCCAAAGATGTCATCATTGCTTCTTCTGTGGCTTTGAGCAAGTAGTATTCGGTCGCCCAAGTCACCAGCTTGGGTAGATTCTGGGGTGATAGCCTCTAGCTGCTTTCGGCATGGACATTCATTGTCGCTTTGAACGGATACGCTGGCCTCATCGTTGCGAGTGGAATCAAACAACTCGGTCAGGTCCCGAGCGGAGCTATTGGACATCTTGAGGTTTCGCTGCCGTTGCATTGTTATCCTTTTGTTGGTGCTAACTGTTGACTTGAGTGCCGGTGCTGAATGTTGCCTATTTGTTGGTTGGACAACTGCGCTTTACAAAGAGCGGAAAGTCAACTTCGTCCATGCCTCGAAAGCGACAATTTTACTGTGCAGTGCTACTCGCGGCCCAACTGCATGGTTGACTGACCCAACCAGTTGAATGGAAGATTTCTTGAGCGGAACCTTGTGAAGATGGGGTAAATACATGGGGCAAATTTGTGCTTTTAGCGTTGAAAGCTACACAACTGGTTGGGCCGCGAGTAGAGTGGGATACTCGATACTCGGTAGCTACCAGCTATGTCATACCAGCGTGATGTGAAGTGTGAAGGCAGTTTTGGTGTTTTGGTCCATCACTTTGAGACATCAGCGATCACTATAGCCAAAACAGTACACTATTAGAAACCTTCTGTCTCACTCTCTATTTTCTGAGTTAAAGGGACTCAATGTTCGACCAAAAGCTTTATGTATCTCACAAAAAGTATAGCGAAAATGAAATACAGGTTTAACTTACGGTAGAGGATGTTAAATCATGTACTCAGTATGGGTAACATGCTATCAATCAATGGTACTTCACGTCGATTTCGTGGCGATTTAATTAATGATGGGTCAATCGGTCTTTGAGACAGTCATTTTCTTATAGTAGATGGTTTTGGTCCATTTTTGGGCTGTAGCCCTGTTACATTTTCTACGTGTCTCACCCACTTCCTTTATTAAACTAACTAACTGGTACAGTCGTACTCGGTTCGGACCGGTAGCTGTCAGCTGTCAGTTGCAAGAGCTGTTGCAAGAATGCCAGAACTTCTAAATTTCTGTGTTTTGTAAAACGTGGCTCCTTGCCACATACTTGCATTTCTCAGCGTCATCCTCTCCTCAGCGCGACGCTCACCCATTTTCTGACGTTGCTAGGCTGTTTGCATCTTGTTGTCCTTCCAGCTATCATACAGTGTACTAGGGACAGATTTTGGTGCTCCACTTGTTTTGTCAACTTAGTCTGAGCAGTTCCAGTCTTAAATCTCCCTCAGAAGAGGTTTTATTGGCAAGCACTCACTCTAATCCATAGTATCGGAGTTGAACAATCCACCGTTCTGCAACGTGTCCAGAAACAGGAAATTGCAAAAGAGAGAAACCAATACTAGCTAGATCTAGCTACCGGTACTCCTACTCATCAGTACGGTAGTTTAATAGTAGTACTCGTAAGATTGTGCGCGTCTTTTCAATGCCTTCAATGACTGCAAGGGGCAGAAAGCGGACTTAATGCAAGAAACTCGGTACAGTTTTGTTGAAGTAGGTGTTAGAAGGCATCGGAACTCAAGTGCCGTGATATGGCGTCGAAGTCTTGGAAAACTGCCACCACATTTTCAGGAAGTTTCGTCAAACAATTCTGTTCCAATCGAAAGAATTTCTCCTTCCGCTTTGCCTACAACAAAGCAACAACAATGCCTGGTAGCCAACCAGAACAGGTCCGTTGGACCACATCATACTACACCCTGCCCTCTTGCCGGACCAGTTCCAGTCCACGTACTTGAATTTTTGATTTGGATCCAAGATTGCTTGGCTCTCCATCAATCGCTCATTCATAATCTCAGCCATCATCGATCATAAACTCTTCCCACAGAACTTGCAAACCCAGAAAAAGAAAAACATGTTTGTCGCTGCATCTACTCGTGTCCTCGCCGCTGGAAAGCACAATGGCGCCCTTGCCCGTCAGCTTCGTCTGATGTCTTCCATCAATCAGAATAACAGCAACAACAGTTTGTCTCCTTCTCAAAAGCGCAAGGAAGAACGCAGGAAATTCCACAGCACCAGCCGTCGTGATCAGGCCGATGCTGCCGAAGCCAAGACCGAAGAGCAAGCTCCTGTTGCCACTGCCGAAAGCAGCGGCATGTTGAACCGTTTCATTGTGACTGCCGAAGTGACTGTCTCCAAGATTTTCCCGGCTGGGTTTGGCTGGCAATCGTCTTCGATTCTCGCGGAGAACACGTTGGGATATTCTCCCGAGACCATGTCCTTTGCCATGACCACTGGATTGGGTGATGCTGTGGGAGTTTTGGGAGGTCACATGCTCTACTACACTGCCAAGAAGAGCGCCGTCGACTCTTCCATCAACCTCACTGCGGAATTGCACACTGGAATTCTTCTCGCCAGTGCTGCCTTTTGCAGTGGAACTGCATGGCAACCTCTGGTCAATGCCCTCCAAGGTGCTAACTTGTCCTTTAACGAAGTCTTTTTGGGAACCTGGGCCGGTTGCGGACTGGCGTTCTATGGTGGTCTCCGGGTCGGACGAACCATCCTCAGTGGATACTTGACCCACGTTCATGAACCCACCTACGAGAACAGCAAGAACGACGCCTCCTTGAGTGTCGCCATTGGTGGAGCCACTGGATTCTTTGTGGGAACCGATGCCGCTTACCTTCCCGAACAAAACTTTTTGATCAAGGCTGTTGGCATTGCCGATGGTACTCCCGACCTCACCGGCTGTGCGATTGCTGGGTCCTCCACCGCTCTTGGCTTTGTGTCCGCTCAGTCCGCCTTGAACGTCGTGTACCCTGCCAAGAAGTGCTGGAATGATTAAACAAATGTTCCCAAGCAAGAGCCAAGCTACAGGGTGAGGTGAAGTAATCATATATATCCCTTTGTACAAATGATCATATCAAGAGTCGTGTCGCGCCGTTGTTTCGCTGCCGCGACCAACGCAACAAATCAAATTTCTTTTTCCAATTCTATATATCACAAGAAACAAACTTAGGATAGTTCCACAAATAAGATTAAAAACGATGTTATGGAACTACAGGGTGGCTTCCTGCTCTACGTACTCGAATTACCCTTTTCAGCTTCTGCTACCGTATGTATACAAGCCTCCCGCGGTCTCACCTTATCAGGTCAGCCATCTTAATTCAAGCCGAGCAAGGAACAAGACAGGGAAGAAACCACCACCCAACGAAGACCTGTTTTATTCCTTTGGATTGAGCACAGAACGCGAACAAGGATGGCCCACTCAAGTGCTGCTTGCTGGCAGATTCATGATTATTGCTCAGCCCTTTTAACGCCAACATCGTGTCCATCAAGTCCTTTCCGCGGGAACATTTTGACGAAGGTGCATCTGTGGCAAGACACAAGCATATGGATGTTGCGCCTTTTGCTATGATTGGGGGAACAACAATGGAACTCGAGAGTTTGCCATCCTAATTCCCATGATTCTGAACCGGCAAGAAGCCAACCATTTGCTTGTGGCTGAATAGGTTACTCAAGAACTTTAACACCCGGTGGCAAGAACGAAGCAAATAATTGTTTTTCAAGCAACATTATACCGGTAGGTGATGAACAATACGGAACTGCATTGTTGGATGCCAGAGGCGCGCTACCCAAACAAAAGCAAACTGACTAAGGGTTGGTGGCTGAATGCGGGGATGAAGTAACAGTTCTACATTGCTTACATCCTACCGGTACTGTTCCCTTAGGGGGAAGATAGCTTGATGGGTGCTGCGACCTGAGTAGCGAGGTCTCGAGTGACGTTGGCTGCAACAAGTTACTGTTGGCTGACGACGAGAAGACTACAGTAGCTCCAATGCGAGTACCAGCAGGTACTTTCCCGTCGATCAAGAGCCGTTCATGTGCAACGGTCGGTGAGATCTGATTTTTTTCTTTCTTCTTGTGGTGCTCTTTTGCCCGCATCTCGTTCGAGGTGCGACATGATGGTTCCTCCCTTCTTATGAGGGCAACGGGAAGCATGGCGCGTTGCTTGCAGAAGAGCTCGGTGCTTTGATGCGCAATTTAAACGAAGCCCCCGTGGTGGTCTGCTATTGCCAAGTTCGGCAACAGCTCTCTCAGTGGGTTTACCGGTATGCACCAATCACCCGGAAATTAGATCTCTTCCTTGGTGGTTCTTCCCATTAGGAACCCTCTTGCAACTGCGGAACCTGTATCAACCAACAAATCCCAACAATCCTCAATGTACCTGGAAACCAGGCAACGACAACTCAGTCCTTACGGCTTACGGCGTGTTGGGGAAGGAAGATTCATTTCCTATTCTGAGGGGTGAGCTTCAGCTGGCTTGTCTTGCCAGCAAAAACAATAAACATTCTAGTGACGGTGCCATACATGTTTTCTGCAGCAGGTTTGCTTTCAAAAGATCAATGTTTTTAAATAGTCGTCACGCTAACACTCCAAAAAGCTACTTGGGAGCCAGTGATTACGGTACGGTGGGCTACCGGTAAACCAAAGAGAAGCACCACCCCCAAGCAAATAGTACTTCAATCTACCTAGAAGGTGCTGTTGATGTTGCAGGTTGCTGTGGTCGATGAAGCGTCAATATCTGTGTGACATTGGTCAAGTGCACTCGATGTTCCAAAGCCCAAGCGGCCGATGCATTCTTTTTGGCCGAGTTGACGTCCAAGTCTTTGGTGTCTTCGACCACACTTCCATCCAACTGCTCTACGATCGACGTCATGATTGCCACAACAGCTTCCTCGGACAAATTCAAATCCTTTCCCAAGCTCTGCGCAAATTGGAGCGGACACTGAGGGACACTCAAATCCCAAATAAAGTCGTCATGAATCCGCACGCCATTGACGCACAAGCGAAGACGAACTGGAACCAGAGCCGCTTTTCGTTTTCGCTTGGAGGATTTTTGAGCCGGTTGAGCTTCACTACTAGTACTGATAGTTGCTGATTCCTCCTCTTGTCGTTTTCGCTTTTGGGCATTTTCTTCTTCGTCGTCAATGTGCTTGGGGATTCTCAATTTAGTAGTCTTGGCCACATGTCGGAGCTGCGGCAAGAGCTGTCTTCGTATCTTTTCTTGCAGCCCAGTAGTCCACAAATCCACCCGATTGGTGAAATGCCGCACGGTGCGTCCCATTCCGTAGACTTCCAAATCACTGAGCAACGTGTAGGCGAGTTCGTCGGCGTTTCGTTCCAAGGCTTCTTCGAGCGGATCGTACAGCGGAATGGGCCAACAGTAGCGATCAAAGACCAGCGTGTCGACAATCGCCAGAGAATGATCATTCGACACGACATTGACGCGGAGAGGAACTAAATTGACATTGCTATACGAGGGACGGTTGGAGTGACTGGAGGCTGCTAACGCCATGGTTGGTCTGGAGGGCTAGCTACGGTAGTTATTTGAGCACCGAGAATGAAGGGCTTGTTTTGGTGTTGTCTTGTGTCTTGGTCAGCTCTTGGCTCTCACTTTCCCTCAAAGCATTCCCGTTCCCTATCACAAGTCAATCACGTGCATGACGAGACACATTTGAAAAGCGTGGATGGTGATCGTGGAAACTATAAAAAATTGGTTATCGCACTCTAGCAAAATACGAGAATCTTTTCGAAAGGGCTCAAAGGAGCAACTAGCGTCGAGCAAAAGCGTCGTTGTTGGATTCCTGACTCTGTGTGGAGAAGCTTGATTGACGTTGGATTCTGTCGTAACCAATTGGAGTTGGTTCAAAGTAGTCGTGTTGTCCTCTCGCAGCATCTTCAGGACAGGAACGATCCAATTCCCGCAGGAGGCGACTCAGGCAATCATCGCCACAGCAAGCCACAGCCTGTGGAGCAACGCAATCATCGTCACAGCAAGTCACAGGCTGTGGAACCAGCGGCATTGGCTCAAACAACTTCCAATCTTGCACTTGCCAATCTTCTGAAAAGGGATGCTCCTCCAATTCATCCAACAACCTACTGAAGCTCTCATCATTGTCTGGAGACTCGACAGGAAAAACTCCCGTTTCTCTCGAAGCAGATGCACATCCCGTTTTGTGCTGTGAGGGTTCCATTCTTAGGCCGTCACATGGGCTTGCGTCGAGCAGTGTGCTGGTGACATCATCGAAGAACTTGTCAAGGCCTTGTGTGGGCCGTCCCGTATGTGTGGGGAGCAACACGCATGGACTCGCCGTCTTCTTCGAAGCACAGTCGAATACCCTTTGGAGGAATAAGTCAGTGGGGGTGGAACTCTTATCCCTTCGTTTGATTTCTTTGGCCAGATCTGGCATGTCCTTGCAGAAGAGCTCATGGGAAAGAGCTAGTGGAGAAGGTGCACTCGTTAGTGAGTTAAGAGGCGGGCAGCACATACGTAGACAGGGAGTGCATAGGCAGGCACTGTTATTGTCACGCATTCTTGACTTACTTCCTCGTTTTGGGCCTCCGGCAACCCTGGCGAAGCCAAACAGGCTCAGTTGACGTTTGAACGTGGCAAACTTGATTCGAGGGAACCATATGGGCATGATGACTTCAGTAAACTTCTTTCTGTTATGGATTCTGAAGGATCTTCCATCTGGTTGCCAACTGAAGATGTCCTTCAGGTGCTTCATCTCAGGTCTCTGGGATGTCATCAGTTCAATGTCTGAAAGACAACCATGCAGTCTCCTCGGGAAGCTCATGCTGTGGGCCTCTCGTTGTTGCTGCATTTTTCGTCGTCCAACTACTACTAGTCTTTGGAGGGATCCTGAGGCGCTGCGTAGGTCAATTGTGTTGCAAATCTTATGATGTACTTGGTTCTGAAGTTGTTTTCATCTGTTGCCTTTTTATGGGATGATAATAGATCAACCTTCGAGCGAGGGCAAACTCAAGAGTGGCTACAGTGGCTACAGGAGCTACTCGTGGGTAGCTAAAACCATACGGTAGACTCTCACTCCCATAGCCAGCTGTTTGAAGAACGGGTACTGAGTACACGTAGGTGAAATGGAAGGTAAAAAACGTCAGCCTACGAGGTGCGAACCACTTGCGCAACTGGGTGGATTCCAAGATACTCACTCTTGGTGACACCGAGGGTATTCTCTTCGACTTCGACGTCGACCTCGATAACTGAAGACATAGGAGAAGAAAGGAAAGGAAACTCGGAGTAAATTAGGCAATAATTGAAAGTGGGTCTGGATGCTCTAGATTTCTGAATTGGGAGTTTTGGTCTTGTTCTTCGTTGCGTTGCTGTTACTTCTGGCGATCTTTTTGTTTAACAATCGTTACGGAAGGGGTTGAAGGAAATCCATGCGAAGTGACCAAGTCCGTGCGGAACACTACGCGGAACGCGGAACTAATGAATGCTACCAGTACCCACTGACGAGCTTTACCCCTGCAATGTCCAAAGCAAGACTACCGGACACCATAGATCACTCCCACTTTTTGCTGAGAAATAAATACATGCAATGGCTGCATCGTATGCCTATGTAGCACTCCGAGTATGTCAATGTAGACCGTAGACATACCGGTAGTCTAATGGCAAACCACAGGAGTTGCAATCCCGTACCGGTCCGGTACCGTACGGAGTAGGACCTCAGACCAACAGCCAGGTCGGTACCAGGTGTACACCTCCGTACTGTACCGGTATTCGGTTTTGCCTCCGATGATAAAAACACTCCGTGCGTCTTCTGGTGGACATCACAGTAGCTAGCTTCCAATAACCTCGTTGAGAAGCCTTTGCTACTGGCAACAGGACCAACTAACTAAGCTGTTTCAGGTACCAAGGCAGCCTGGGGACTGGACTCGGATGTTCTCGTTGCTGGCTGCTCTTCGGTTCGCCTCCAATCGCGAGGTAGTCGCTACCTCCACAAAGTACCTGTAGCAAGTAGCCGGTTGCCGTCATGACACGGTTTCCATTCTCCAGAAAACACAATCAACTTTCCAGTAGAACTGGCCCAAGGGCTTCGTTTCTTTTTAACTTTTCGGATAACATGAATACATACATGTTGCAGCTCATGTTGCCCGGTTTTCCATTCGTCCTCTTTCATGGTTGCTGCCGCTGTCCAGCATGGCTCGGTTTTGCCTTCTTCGCCAGAAGGAACAATCACTCTTTGCAGAACTGGAAAGTGGAAAGGGCTTCTTTCCTATTAAACATTGCGGAGAATTTACTGGAGTACATGCTGCTTGGAATGGTTGCTGTTGTTGCTCGGTTTTCCAATTCGCTAGCTAGAAGTTGTCCAAAGCAGAATTCACCCAGGGTTTCTTTTCACTGTTTCGGAGAACCTGCAATGTCATGATGCCTTTGAATCGTTGCTCTCTACTCAGTCTACTGGAGTACAACAATGTCATGTATGTAATACGTCCATTGTTCGGCTTTTCATTCGCCATGGCTGTGTCAGCTCTCCGTGGCTGCTGAACTGGCTTCTGCGTTCTTCCTGTGAACTGTGAACATTGCAGAGAACATGCTTGCTGGTGGCTTTTGAACTCTGAACATTACAGGAGACAGGAGTAGCTAGCTAGCTAGCAAGCGCAAGTCAAACATATAACTTCCTGTTGTAGCTGTTTGGCTACAGTGAATTACGTAATCAGTTCAATCTGTGCTGAAATCTTTTCGAAAGCTGTTTTCTTTGAGAATTGAACAGGACACGATAAAGAACACCAAGCAAACCAATCGATGTAATACTTCTAGATTGTCCGTTCTAACTAGGTGAGTGCCTCAAACCAACTGTGATTGTCTTATCCCCTCCTTGTTCCTGGATTCAATGCATTACATGTAATCTTCCTCACTGGCAGCCATTACTTTGCACATCCTAGCTAGCTAGGACCAGTTTCAACCACTTTCTGTGCTTTGGACCGCTTTCAAGCAACTCGCAGAAGAGCTACTGTATTACCTCGGCAGTCTTGCTGCCAGAGACCTCAACCCCTTAACCTCGGCAGTCTTGCTGCCTGCAGGGTGCGGAAATGGGACTCAAGTCAGCAAGTCTGCGTGAAACTAACGGCTAGTTTCACGCAGAGCCGTTAGTTTCACGCAGTGTTTCACGCAGTTTCACGCGACGTGAAACTAGTACTCAGATCTGCGTGAAACTAGCAGCTAGTTTCACGCAGAAAAACGGCTAGTTTCACGCAAGCTTTACTAGTGATTACTACGGATAGATTGATAGTTTCACGCACGACTGAACATAGTTTCACGTGCGTGAAAGTAACGGCTAGTTTGCGTGAAACTAACTAGTTTCACGCAGGAAAACGGCTAGTTTCACGCAGATCTGCGTGAAACACTGCGTGAAACTAACGGCTAGTTTCACGCAGACGTGGTCAGTTAAGTCCCATTTCCGCACCCTGCAGAGCCCTCAACCCCTTTCAAAATAAGACCAGTCACACTAAAAACCTCCACCATCCGTCTGTCGTCGTTCGGAGATCCCAGAATCGCGAAGCCGAGATAATCGCGAAAAACAAAAATTAGGTGGCTCATAAGCGTTCCAGCACCAAAACAGAGCCAAATCAGGCACTTACCTTATAGCAACCTCATTAACTCTCATAGAATAGACCTCTATTAGATTAGGATGCTTCAGCAGTGATGCTTCTAGCTGCTCTGGCCCCTTTGGAAGCCTTTCTGTTGCTCTTAACCTTTGCACGGCGTTCGACGCCTGGATCCTCATTGTACCACTTGAACTCTTTCCTCTTGTCATCCGGCACCAGAGGCCCCCATTTATCGTGCAGCTCAATCCACTTAATGTCCTGGACACCGATGGCATCAATGGACTCTAATTCCTGCATGCGAAGTAGCCAGTTGGCTTTCGAATCCCATTCTGGTTCTTTTTGGATCCTCTTCGTGATGGTCTTCTTTTGAATAGTTTCGAGGACAACGGGACCATTTACCCATTCCTGAATAGCAATGGTCGCTCCATTATCCCTTGCTGCAGTAGCCACAAACATGTGGTTGTCATCGACACCACTCTTGATCCTGTAAAGGTATTGATTCTCAAACTTGTCGAAGTCAAACATGTCTTGCTCCGTAACCCATACTGCCTGGACTTGGTCATGAGTGAGGGCTTCAACCATATCCTCCGGAAGGTAGATGTTCGCCTGTTGAAAGGATAGTAGAAGAGCAAGTAGATGAGACAAATATTTCAGGTTTTCGTGTGAAGAACAACAATGATGTCAGTGTGGACGGAGAACAGTAACATCACTGGAAACGAAAAACTCTGCCAACAATGAATTTGCTCTGTAGTTTACTTCTGAAGGGGCAGAGTGAACTCCCAGAGTTTTGGTCTAAGTAATGAGTTCGAACAGGCCGCAGAATGTATGATCCCCCTCCCCC